TCTGGTTGAATTGTCTCTCTAAAGAGACCTGCGATGACATGATGTAAATTATAGCTATAGAAATAAACTGCATAGAATTGAATGTTCATGTTACTGTTCTGTGCTTCGTCAAAACAGTGACTGATCTTCTCCCCCAGCTCCTCTGGTGAATCAGAATAAGTTTGGAGTCATGTGACATAAGCAGCATCAGGTGAGGAGACCCTGCGGTTCATGCCAGCCCTCAGGGACTCATGGCCCAGCTTTGCTTTGAGTGAGAAACAACGACTCCATACCTCCTCTTGGAAGAGGTTCTGTCGGTTTTTCAGAGCTCTCAGCCGGTTCTGCTTGTCTTCGTGGTCCAGGTGATCCGCAGGTGGTTGGAAGTAGCCCATCAGATCCTGGAGACTTAAACTGACTGAGTCTATTGGAAGGTTTAAAGTAGAACTTTTCCCCTTCTTTCTCACTGTGTCCAGCCCTCTGCAGATGACATAGAGCAGAATGATCACCGTCTGACCAAACCTTTCATGTACAGAGTTAGTTCAACAAATCATTTCATTTAGGGCTTTCTGTCCCTCCAGATTGCTTCTACAAACACTCGTGAAAGAAAATATCTATGTAAAGGTAGGGTAAGTAATCCTGTTGATGTAGCATTTGATATGGGACTCAGCGGGGGATTGACCATTAGGTAATACCAGGCAGTGACCTGTACAGATGTACATACTACATCTGTAAAGTAGACTTTGGTCAAACTCAGTTTCTCCTCCAACTTATAATTTCAGTAAAGTAATGGACTTTAACGACTTAAAGCTTCGGTTGATGTGAGGACCAGATAACAGGGAAGCCATGCAGTCAATCAAACAACGTTTTTATTAATAATTATTATCGGCTACTTTTATTAAAGCCTTAACGACATATCGCTGACGTCATGTTTCTCAATAAATACGTCTGAAAGAGTCATTTTTGTCAAAGTGAGAAATGAGCGTCCTTCTTAGCGCTGCTGCTCGTCTGATTAATCAATGAAAAGGTGGGAGTTTAGCTCCGTCCCTGATAGCGCTGAGGTCTGACATCTCTCTTTAAGACGGGCGTACACTGTACGTAAAATTGACAGACTGTAGTAGCCACGTTGCTCAGCCATGTCTTTGTCCAAATACGTCGTTGCCTTTTCTTTTTAGGGCTTTCAGCACAAAATTGCCCAAATAGCCAAGGCAGCGCGTTTCACTCTAGTGAGCTTCAGATTCCTCTGCTACTGGTTTGGCTTCCAGATAGACGAGTCCGAGTAGCGCCATCTCACTGTGGAGCTGAGTCCCACCTGGTTTTTAGACGTACAGTGTGAGCAGGTAGATCGCATCGGAGCATCGGGTCGCACAGTGTGAGAACAATCATGGTGAGCTGTGAAATTTTAAACCCTGCAGTTTCGTCGTACAGTTTGAGCTGTAGCTGCGTGCAACGATTGAAAATATCGTACAGTGTATACCCAGCTTTAGGTGCAGCTCTGCACCAGAGCTAAAACCAGGAGGGTGAGAGGGTGTGGCCTAAAGCACCTGATGAAAATGTTGAAGAGGAAGACAGTGCTGCGGATGACCCTGGCAGTGCGGCTCTCTTCATGTTGGGAGCGAGACAGCGTGAGCCCGTCGTCCATGTGGCCTTCATGGTGCATGATGGCCTGAGAAAAGAAAAGAAAAACGATTTCCTGAAAACATTTTCAATCTTGTTCAGTTGGAAAGTTGTTCCTGAGACTCTGTGTGCCGTTTTCACTGTGGTGAAGGTGAAATGAGGTCAGGAGACGTCAGCAGCTCCTCTGAAAAGTTCCATCTGTGGAGGAACAGGCTGAACGGTTCCACATTTAAACAGCTACACACTCAGCTGGGAATAAAAGCAGGAAGGCTGCTGTTAGAGATGCTAACGGTGCTAAAAGCACAGCCTGCAGCCTGCAGTGGGGCTGTTTAAACTGGTGACAGAATGCAGAGTTTCCATTGTCATAGTCATAGATGAATAACGATAGCTCAGTGGGTGAAATGGACGTACAGAGAAGTTCAAACTCCATCAACACCTCCTTTCTCTGCAAATCTAACTATTCTAAACTTCCACCATAAAACAGTGAATCCAAATGAAGCACCGAGTTGACGTAAACTCTGGGATGTTGCCTTATTTGGTTCTGGCCTGGACTTTTGTCACGCCCCAAAATTAACATCCAAACCAGCCCACTGGTTCTTGGAACCTCGATTCATGTTCCAAGAACATGAATAGAGGAAGATGGAAGACAGCAGTTTAGCTGTTTAGCCAACAGTTGGGTTTACTTCTACAAGAATTACAAAGCAGGAAGTTTCTCTATTGAAAATGAACCAGAACCACAGGTGGAAACGCAGTGTTTCAGGCTGACCGGAGAAAGGGGAACATTTTCACAGTTTTCCCAAGGATCCAAAGACTCCACAGGCATGGATTATTTCAGTCTATCAGAAGATCCCTGCAAAGTTTGATGCTCAGCTGTTCATTTGCTCGAAGCATTTTATTAAAGACAGCTTTCACAATCTTGGACAGTTCAAAGCAGGATCTGCTGAACTTCTTTTACTGAAACGAGGGGCTGTT